GGATTAGTGAATAAAAATCCAAAAGATGGTGTGCAGCCTGCGGAATGTGCATTTTCTGAAGTGTCTTATGATGAGTTCATTTGGAGCGATCCTTCAAATATCTCTAAGTTGGTTGCATCAGAGGAGGCAGAGTTGGCGAGGAGGAAGTTCAAGCAGATGGTGGCTGATATACCCTCCTTTAGCCTTGGCATCACGCAGGATGGTGCCTTGCAAGGAAGTGGTGATCACCATGTGGTTGATGTTGGTAATTGCAGCAACAGTCCATTTACCCCTGTGCTTGGAGTTAGTAATGTGAATCAGGAACTCGCCAATGCTTCGAATGAACCGAGAGGGTGTGGTGAACCTGGAACTAACTTGCATACGGTGTGTAATGTGTTAATAAATGTTTTCGTGTATGCATGACTTTTCTATTATGAATGAGTGTAATAGACAAAGTTTTTGATCACTTCTTCTTTGCATTTTAGAAAGGTGGGGAAGCATGTGGCCAAGGGTCTGCCAGTGCTGCCATAAGAAGACATGATACATCAGTAGTATGTGTATTATTTGAATTTTGATTATTAAATTAGATGAATGGGTGTGATGGTTGTTGGTATATGCACAGGTCAACAAAAATGAAGAGGGCATGATGGATAATGTTTTGGGAGAGGCAATGCCTTTCAAAAGTGTGAGTGTAATAGTTAATTGGTTCAATTTTTTTTGAGCATTCTGACTAATGTTTATTGTGTTAAAATGGTCATTTAGTATTGGAGTCCTAGTGAATATGTAATGAAACTGCTATGTTAATGATGTCTAGGAGGTGGAAAAGCGAAATGAACAGCTGAAACCCGCTCGGGTAATTAAACCAGCAGAATCTCTACGGTCTCCGTACGTGACAAGAGCAGTGGATTTGAATGATGGTTTGAGTACTGTGGAAAAGAGATTGGGGAGATGGATCTTTAAAAACAGTAGTGCTCCAAGGTATGATGTAAACAACGGTGCGAATGATGTTTTTTGAGTCTAAATATGTAATAGCTAGATGTTTATTTGTTCAATGTTCTCTACATTCGCAGGGAGGAAATTGTTTTTAAAAAGGGTAAGTTTTGGTTAAGTATAGAAGATATTTGTAGTCTGGACATATTGAAACACATTTCAAAGAAGGTGTTGGATGCATGGTGTGTGATTTTAAATCTTCGTGAGAAGTACCGGAGCAATACCTCACCACTACGATTGTTTGCAAAAACACTTGATTGTGTAAGTGTTATGACAGTTTTTAAATCTTACCACTTGGAAGTTTTTGTTTTCAATGAATTTACTGACTTTGAGATGTATAATATGAAGGTCGTGAATGGTGGTCATGAAGATAATTCGTTGGAAACAACGAGATTGATGTTTAATGATGCAATGAAATCTGCTTGGGATGATGCAGAGGATAGCTTTAATTGGGGGAAACCAGAATTGGTAGGAGACATTGATGCAATTTGAAAAACTAGTAACAACTAACTATAATTAAGCATGGTTAAAAAAAATGTTTTTTGGATCTGTGGCCTCGTTTTAGGATG